ACATCCTCACTTTTTTTATCTGTCATTATGATTCCTATTTTGCCTATACCCTTAATCTCCTTTCCTTTCTCATGTTTCATTGTACTCACTAGCTTTGGTTAAATCAACCTCTACCAACCATTGGCCTGCACTCCCTGCAGTTGCATGTGGCTGGAGAAGTGCGGAGCGATGAATACCAACTTCGGTGGGCTCATGGTGCTGCTTGGCAGTTCTGCTCCGCAGTGTTTCCTCTGATTTCTTCACTCTCTTACTTTCTTAGACCACTGTTTCATACCTTTTTTTCCCTCCTCAAATTTCTAATACTTCTTTTTATATCCTCACTCTGTATTGATGACCTTACTTCTTATTTTATTTTAAAAAAAGGAAAACAAGCAATCAGATGAGAAATTCCGTACTCAGGGAAAGCTCTATCCACATACCTGAATCTGTACCCCATTTACTATCTTCACTCTGATGGTACTCATAAGTCTTTTTGCCTGAGACCAATATCTCTTACACATTCCCTCCATACTTACTCCTCATTCTAGTAATACCTCTCCCTCTATTTTGTGTCATCAGCTTTACCCTTGATACTGTAAGTTTTCCTATCTTATGAAAGGATTCTCTGGCCTCCACGTTTTCCTTAAGCTATTTCCCATTTCCCTCCTCACTTTTATGGCAAAACTGCCTTGAAAAGGATGTCTATATTTTGTTACCAATTTTTTTCTTTTTATCTTTTTATGAACCTGATTCAGTCAGTGCTTTTATTTCTACCATTCCACCAAAATTATTCTTGTCAGAACAATTTTTCCATTGACTTTCATGTTGTTATCCAAAGATTAACTACTTTTTTTTTTTTTCCAAGATTTAAAAAGTTTATTTATTTGACAGAATGAGTGTGGGCACGCACAAGCAGGGAGAGAAGGTGGCTCCCCGCTGAGCAGAGAGCCCAACACAAGGCTTGCTCCCAAGCCTGGGATCACGCATGACCTGAGCTGAAGGCAGATGCTTAACCAACTGAGCTACCCAGGCACTCATTATTTTTTTAATCAACAGAGTTTGAAACGATTCATTACACTCTTCCTTGAACCACTTTCCTTGGTCAACTTTCAACATGTTTATATACGCTCTTTGGTTTCATCTCCTTCACTGCTGCTCTTCCATTTACCTTGCTTGTTCCATCTCATCTGACTCCTAGATGTCAAAATGTGGAGATACTTAGGCCAAATTGGTTGGTAGATGGTTATATTAGAGGAAATAGACTGGGACCAGTTAGACAAGAAATAATTGTGACTTGAACTATGGTGGTGGCGAATAGAGATGTGGAAAGTGGATTTCTGAAGGAATTTATGAATTCTTTCCTAAAGAATTGTGTAAAGATAAAGATATATTTAATTTATTGATTTCTGTGGCTGAGACAGACACCAAGACCTCCATTGACCAGAATAATCTGCTGGCCTTAACATTAAACAAAAACAGTTGAGCTGTTCGCGGTTTTTCCCCCCCCACCCTGCTTAGCTTCTGAAGTTGTCTGAAATGGTATTGTGGGTACTTTCTGATCAGGCTCTTGCTGAACTTTAAATTTCCAGCTGAGTAATACTTGTTTCTTTTCTCCCCATTGCTGATTTCTTCATTGTAGCAGAAGAGTGAGATTTTTGAGTAGATGTATTATTTGACTGCTAGCATTTCTTGAAATGGTTTCATGCAAAAAATAATTGTTCATGAAAAAAACAACGTGAATTAGTAAAGCATAGTGGTTAAGACATGGATTCAAGTCATCTGGACATGAACTCAAATTCTGGGCTTGTTACTTCTAGTTAACTTACTATTAGTGCTTGACCTTATTCTTAGTTTGTTTTTTCATCTGTACAAAAGGAATAGTAATATTTACCTTATGGTAAGGATTCTAAGGATTGAAGGAAATTACACAGGTAAGGTATTTAGTGCACAGTGCTAATACTTGGCAAATGATAGGTAATATTATATTTCTGGGAAGGAGTGTTAAGATTGTGGACATATTTTTAAATCCTAAAGATAAGGGGTGCCTGTGTGCCTCAGTTAAGTGTCTGGCTGGCTCAGGTCATGATCTCAAGGCCCTGGGATGGAGCCCCTCTTCCAGCACCCTGCTCAGTGGTAGGGGGTGGTGGTGGTGGTGGTGATGGTGCTGCTTGTCCCTCTGCCCCTCCCCCCAGTTGTGTTCTCACTCTCTCAAATAAAATCTAAAAAAATAAATAAAAATAAAACCTAAGTACTGGTTTCCCCTGCTTTCTGAAAGTAGAGCATTCTTAAGAAACCTAAGTGAAACAACATAAAGCAAGGAAACAATTACTTTTTCCTACAAATGAAAATCCTCTTTGGATTTCTTTCAGTTAGCAAAAACAGATACTAATGTAGGTCTTTTGTAAAACCAAAATAGAATAATACAATCTTTCAGATAGTGAGGGGAACCTGTACTGACTGTTAGAAATTTCTTCTAACAAAGAAGTTTTATTGTAATGTTTGCATCTACTTTCTTGTATTAGCCACTCCTGAACTTAAGAATGAGTGTATTTCAATCAAAGACATCTTTATAAAACATTGTAAAGATTAATGTTTGGGCACCTGGATGGCTCAATGCTTTCCCATCTCCCTTTGGCTCAGGGCGTGATCCTGGGGTCCTGGGATCAAGCCCCACATCAGGCTCCCCACAGGGAGCCTGCTTCTCCCTCTGCCTGTGTCTCTGCCTCTCTCTGCGTCTCTAATGAATAAATAAATAAAATCTTAAAAAATAATTTATGTTTAAGACCTACCATTAGTTGTCTGAGGCAAGGAAAGGGCACGTTGGCATGCAAAGGAAATGAATAATTCTCTTACACTACCTTTAATTTACGGTGTTTTGTTTTTGCTCAGTACTTAATGCTGAGATGAAAACTTGAATTTCACTTTTCTGTACCTTCTTAACCCTGATAACCGTAACCTTGGCTGTACATTAGAATCCTCGGAAGCACTTTCAAAAGCACTAATGACCAGGTTACATTCCTGCTCAATTAATGAAAGTAGGGGCAAGGGAGGAGGAGACATTAGGATTAAAAAAAAAAAATCCCCAGGTGATTTTATTTGCATCCTGTGATAAAAGACAGTATAAATCTTTTAGCCTATTTCTGTTCTCAATAATATACTCACTTTTCTTTTCTTCCTCTGTGTTCGTGCCCTTGACAGTCACGTATCAGGCCTCTGAAGAGCACCTTTGGCCATTCCCTTGCCCATCACACAAAAAGATAGTGTACAATTTGCCTCTTTTGTATAAAAACTAAACTTTGAAGGGTTTGGGAAGTAAGTGTTTATGTAGTTAGTGTTCACTATTATGTTATTTTTTTTATATGGGCAGCTATAATTTTCTGCTTTTTTAATAAGCTTTATTTCTTTTATGAAAACTGGAAAAAGAATGTTTTGAGTCTTAAAAATATATATAATAGGTTTGTTAGATTTATGTCAAGAGCAGCTTTTTAAAACTTACTTATTTATTAAAGATTTTATTTACTATTCATGAGACACCCAGAGAGAAAGAGGCAAAGTTGCAGGCAGAGGGAGAAGCAGGCTCCCTGTGGGGAGCCTGATGTGGGATTCAATCTCAGGATCCCAGGGTCACACCCTGAGCTGAAGGAAGATGCTTAACCACTGAGCCACCCAGGTGCCCCTTAACTTTTTTCAAAAAATGTTTTATTTGAGAGAGAGAGAGCGAGAGCGTGTGCATGCGCTCAGCGACGGAGGGCAGAGGGAGAGAGAATCTCAAGGAGCCTTCATGCTGAGTGGGAAGCCCAGCGTGAGGCTATATCCCAGGACTCTGAGATCATGAACTAAGCTAAAATCAAGAGCTGGCTGCTCAGCTGACTGCACCACCCAGACTCCCCTTAGGAGCAACTTTTTATAAGAAGCCACATGATTTCCCTTTATCACTTGGTTATCCTTTTTTTTTTTTTTTCCGGAGATAATTTAGTAAGCCTCATCAGTTCCTATGAATTAGGGAGGTCTAAGCAGTGGATATGAGCTGGTAGTTTTTGATATCGCGTTATCACTAGAGTCAACAACTTGTATAAATTATTAAGAAGAAATGTATATTACCTATAAAAATTTTTAGTGTAGTAGAGTTGCAGTCTTTAGATTTCTGGTTCACATATGGTATTTTTAATTGCTGATGACCCTACAGCCATTCTACGAGGCAGAGTAGGGAGTCGTTATGTATTTTAAGGGGTTTTAATTATAGATTATAACTTCGGCAAGTTTCTTTGTTGAATTAATAGAACTAGTGTGTCTGTTCCACAGTAGGTTGTGAGGCTAATATGACTTGGTCTTTTTTTTTTCTTTTAATATTTTATTTATTTATGAGAGACACAGAGAGGCAGAGATACAGGCAGAGGGAGAAGCAGGCTCCTCCAGGGGATCCCGGGACTCTGGGGTCACGCCCTGAGCCAAAGGCAGATGCTCATGCACTGTGCCACCCAGGTGTCCCATGACTTGGTCTTATTTTAGAGGGACTGCTTTGGCAAAAGCTACTTCAATCCTCAAGACCTTTGTGGATTTTTAGCTAATTATAATGAAATATAAAACATTAATTGTAATACTTTTTAAGCTCTAAACCAGCAGAAAATTAGTAAGTACTAATAGTTTGACCATTTACACATACGATTGGTCAGGTAATTCAAACAACAGTTACTTCAATGAGGTTTTATGTATCATAAAGCTGGTTTACAAACTTAAGTGATCATAGTCATGAGCTAGATTGTGTAGATCTTACCTTCCTGTGAAGAAATTGAATCACTCAGAGGTTAAACAACTTTTGTGCAAATGTGTGTAAGTTTTCAGGTCGCAGGAAGATTAGAAGGCCCTTGATTGTCTTAAGTTTGGACTTAAATTTCATTTAAGCCTAAAATAAATTAGGAGGTTTTGATTCCCAAGCTTGCGGTTCAAAAATTATGGAACTGCTTTTCTCTTCTCCCTTCTTGCCGCTTGCTGTGCCGGCCTGCCCGGTACCCCCCATAGCCATGCCTCGCAAAATCGAGAAAATCAAGGACATTTTGCTCATGGCCAGGTGAAAGGACCCCAATCCGTCAAGATCAAGAAGAATAAGGATAATGTGAAGTTTAAAGTTCAATGTAGCCAATATCTTTATACTTTGGTCATCACAAATAAAGAGAAGGCAGAGAAACTCAAGCAGTCTCTGCCCCCAGGTTTGGCAGTGAAGGAGCTGAAATGAACCTGGCCCGCTGATTTGAACTATTAAAATTTTAAAAATTCAAAAAAAAATTATGGAGCTTTAGTCATTTAAATTTAATGGGACTGTCTTTATGGTATTTTATTTTGTTTGGGACTTTTAGGACTTGGTAGTAGAAAATTCTTATCTTGTAGAAAATTCTTATCTTGAGATGCTGAGTGTTTTAGATGATTTACTGATTTTCTACTTGTAATAAATTCTGCATATCAGGTGGCCAGAATCCTCCTTGGAATATATGTGAGAAACCTACACAGATATTTAGAAGTATAGTGCATCAGGAAGGCTACCACTACAGAAAATAGAAGACATACCAAATTGATTTACAAAATATGAAATTACGACAACCAGGAAGTAGATTGATTTCAAGGGAGTAGTGTTAATTCACTTTTATTTGTTTTTCTTTGTAAATATAGGCAGCTTTTCATTTTACATGATAATTATAGACCCATGAAACCTGTATTACTAAAACATTCAGAAAAACTATTTTTAGGTAATGTGGCAATTTTCCTAGGCTCAGTTTGATCTGAAACTGAAATTCTTTTTTTACTTATTTCTGTTTTATCTGCCCCTGTTTCTTTTATGTACCACAAGTCATCAACTCAGAACATTAAAAAACATCCATGTAATTGAACCAAAAATTAGTTAGAAAATAAGTTCATAACATTTTATATGTACAATTACCTATTTACAAGAAGTTTCTTGACATAGTTCTTTAATTTGAAAAACCCTAAGGTTTTCAGGGTAATGGCTAAATGTACTTACTCCAGCTTTTATTGAACTCCAGTGAAATTGGTCCCATCTGGCAGTCTGTTTTAATTAATAGCCAACCTGGAATATAATGTCTCCTTAAATAAACAAACAGACAAACTAAGCCTGTCCAACTGGTTTAACCATCTTAACCTGACCAAATTCACATGATAGTTGAAAAGTTGAGTTGTTTTAGGTGTAATTCCTGAACTCCTTAGGTACTTGAGGCCAGAGAGAGAAATTGATTAAGCTAATACTAGAATTCAGATTTTCTGGCTCTTGTTCCATTTAAGAACAGTATAGGATGATTTCATATCCTGAGTTTAATAGAACACAGAGAATAAAGCTGATAACTTTTCACTCTCTGATAAAATATATTCTAGGGATTTTACTCATGATCAGTGATTTCTTGTTTTGAGAAATTTTTTTGAGAGAAAAATTGCGGTTTAGCTATCATTTATTCTGGATATTACATGCTTTATTTTTATTAGGCTCTGATTTAGGATGAATAGCCTACTTGTTTTTTTTCTCATACTAAGATTTGGTTTTTATTTTCCCCGTTAGTTGCTTCTTGTCAGATTTTAAGAGATTGCATGACTATTTTAAGGGTTTCTAGCACAGAAAAGGGAGATGTAAAATGTTTATCCTTTAGCATTTATACTGGTGTATCTAATAATTTATTCTAAAAGTGTCTTGAGTTTGAGAGTTTTTGCATATGAGTAGACATTAGTGATACAGATGTGTTACAGAGATTACTGTGCATTCCTGACATTTAATTCTGTTACCAGTCTGCTAAAAAGATTAGAGATAAACTTATTCAACTTAGTTGCAAATTTTCAGTAAAATTTGGAGCCTTTTAAAAATTAGGTTTTACATTGTTAAAAAATCTTTTAAATACCGTTTTATCAAGTTTATGTTTTAAAAATTTGACATACCTGTTAATCACCTGGCTTTTTATCAACTTTTAATTTATTTTCGTATGACCTATAACATACCGGTGAAATGATCTATTCTGTAAGAATCTGAACAATTACTGTATTTAAAATATATTTTATAATTGAGAACAAACATAGGATAGAGATGTTTCTGACTCTAGTACTGCATAGTTTATTCTAATAGTGAGAAACGTGGTTCCCACCAACCCGTCTATTTTACTTCATGTTTATCTGCAGTATTCATGCATAGCAGTTTCAGAATTATTAACCCATAGCTCTGTGATGAATCACTTTACCAATAGAATACATTATTTATGTAGAATGTTCTTTTTCTCTCTTACAGTTAGCAGTCAAAGCACCATTTTCCAGAGTTCCTTAGGTCAGCACATTTCCCATACCCTCTTTAGTGTGGCCATAGCATACATTTATAATACTATTAGTCTTTTTTTCAGGTCTGCATTTCTAACCTCCCAGTTTATTTTTAAAATTTGCATACATTCAAGTTCACTTTTTATGCTGTGAAGTTCTGTGAATTTTAACACATGCGTAGCATCATGTATCTACTACTTCAGTGCTATATGGAATAGTTCCATCTCTTTAAAAGTTTCCCTGTGTGTCCCCCTTTGTAGTCATTCACTTCTCCCACCCCTTTCTTATCCGCTACAAACCACTGATCTATTTTCTGTCCTTGTAGTTTTGCCTTTCCAGAATGTCATATGAATGGAAACATGTAATACAGTCTTTTTGGTTTGTATTATTTCCTTTAGCAAATACATTTAGATTTGTGTTACATGAATTAAATTAATAGCTTGTTCTTTTTTATTGTTGAGTGGAATTTTATTGTACAGATATACCATTTTGTCCATTCATCTTTTGAAAGGATGTCTTCATTGGTAAGAACATTCATGAACAGATTTTCACATAAAAATAAGTTTTTAGTCCACTTTGGTAAATACCCAGGGTCACAGTTGCTGGGTTGCTTGGTAAGTCTATGTTTAACTTTATAAGAAACTGCCAAACTCTTCCAAAGTGACTGTATTTGTCTTCATTTTTGAAGGGTATTTTAGCTGGATTTAGAATTCTTAGTTGATAGATTTTTTTTTCTTTCTGTAGTTAAAAATGTTGACCCACTCTTCCCTGCTTTGCATTGGTGCTAATGAGAAGTCTCATGTTACTCCTTTGTGTTTCTTTTTTTTTCTCTCTCTGTGTATGTACTTTCCCTCTGCTTTACGATTTCTCTTCCACTGTTTCTCAGCAACTTGACTTTTAAAACGTGAGGGGTTTGTTGTTCTTTTTGGAGGTTGTTGAATTTCTTGAATCTATGAGTATAGCTTTCATCAGATGTAGGAAAAATGCGGCCTTTGTTTTCTATCCTTTCCTCTCTTTCACTCTTTCTGGGACACTACTTAACATTAATGTTGGGCTGCTTGATATTGCCCAATAGTTCACTGTCTAACTTGATATTGTCTAACATTTCATTGTCCCACAGTTCCTTTTTTTTCTCACTGTGTTTAGATTTTTTTTTTTGATTGCTAGCTGTGGTTTCAATTCATTAAACTTTATTTTTTTAAGATTCTATTTATTCATGAGAGACCGAGAGAGAGAGAGAGAGAGAGAGAGAGAGAGAGAGAGAGGCAGACACACAACACAGGCAGAGGGAGAAGCAGGCTCCATGCAGGCAGCCCAATGTGGGACTCAATCCCAGGACCCCAGAATCGCACCCTGAGCCGAAGGCAGATGAGCCACCCAGGTGTCCCAATTCATTAAACTTTAAAGTTTAGAAAAGACTGCCGTTAATCTTACCCAGTGCATGTTTAATTACAGATACTGAATTTTTATTTCTAGAGGATCAGTTTGAGCCTCTTAAAAAATCTTTTTAACTTTCAAATAATTATTAACATATAAGAAGGTGCAAAAATAGTACAGAGAAATCCCATACGACCATCACCTGTCTTCCAGTGGTGTCATAACTATAGTGCATTATTGAAACCAGAAATTAACACACAGTATAATTAGGCTACAAGTCTACCTTAGATTTCACCAGTTTTGCAAGCTCACACTTTTTTTGGTTGTGTCTTTTTCATTCTGGTCGTATTTTAGAAAATGTGAAGAGAGAGTCCTATAACCACCACAAGCAAGATGTAAACGTTTTCTGTCACCATAAATTCCTTTGCATTGCCAACTTCTGTGTTTTCCATGCCCTTGTATTTCTCTTATTGTATTCATAGTTTTCTTTATCTTCTTGAAGTATGGGATGTATTTACAGTGTCTGGTTTAATCTCTTTCTCTACTAATTGTATCACTTGTTATCACTGCCGTTCTCATCACTTATATTTCACATAGTTTGGGGATATATTTCCTGCTTCTATGCATGACTGGTAATTTTTGGTTGGATGCCAGACATTAAATTTTATATTATTTAATGCTGGGAGTGTGTTGTATTATTTTAAATATTGTTGGAGTTTGTTCTGGGTTACAGTTAAGGCAGTTGGAAGTAGTTTCATCTTTTGAGGCTGGTTTTAACTTTGTTAGTGCTAGTCCAGAACATCCTTAGTCTAAAGCTTATTTGGTTTTATTGCTCATGCATTTATTAGCTTCTAAATTCTATTCAGTACTCCTTGTGTTAAAACTGTCCTACTCCTGTTGACTGCAATGTGAGTTCTTGTAGAGGCTTTTTAGGTTTAGTAGTTTTTTTTTTTTTAATTCAGTAGTTTTTTTTCACATACATATACAGATAATTACTCAGCTAAAACCTTGAAGGCAATCTGTCTTCAGATCTTTGAAGCTCTTTCTCACAGCTTCCTTCTCTTCATTCACCCTGCAAATTCTAGCTGTCTTGTTATCTCCCCTAACTCTGGATTCTTTTCCTTTAACTCCCCGAAACCATTAGGCTTTGATTGGTACTGCCTTTCCCCTCCCTGTGTTTTGGCGTCGTGCTTCCACAGACAGTGGGGCTTATTACTTCATTTGGTGTTTTTCTTGATGATATGTGTCCTGAAATGTGTCCATTGTCTGAAAGTCATTGCTTTATATGTTTTATCTAATTTTCTAGCTGTTTAAGGCAGGAGGATAAATACAGTCTGTTTTTCCATCTTGGAAGGCATCCTGCCTTATAGAAAATTTCACTGTAGTTTTGTATTTATTTGTCTTTTCTGACTTTTGAATATTTAGGACTTTGTAGGAAAACCAATGTGTAAAACTTAAATGAATGTAGGCAGGTAGTGGGCATATTTTCCCATATTTGTTCCTTTTTTCACATACTCTTACATATATACCTATATCCTCTTTGATTTGTTGTGC